GTAATGTATAATTTTATAAATATTGGAAAATGAGATATATATGCTTTTTTATTTTTATTTTTTAAAAATAGAATATTTGTGTGCTAATGCAATTCGGCTGAATGAGTTTTTGTAATGTGGTTCCCAGCTGGATTTCCACAGTAACTGTCTCAATCGATATGGCGCTGCTACGACGTCTAAATTTCACATGTAATATTGTGATTGATTATCAAATATATTTTTTATTTTTCTATATTTCGTCTCATTATTTTCAATATTTTCTATTTCATTTTTAAAAAGAGGCTAATATATAAGTTAATCATTAAAAGTAAGATAGTCGTATGATTAAATATGTTATTTGTGTCAAATTGAAAATATTAAGAAAATAAGATAAAATTAAAATAATTATTGTAACAAAGAATAAAAAGTGATTAAACTAATATAAAACCAGAAACAAATGTTTTTCTTTTTTATACATACGCCATGACAATTATAGAAAAGAAAAAGAAAAAGACACCAAAGTTATTTTGGCTTGTTGGTTGATTTGAAATAATAAAAAAAAAGTCTTAATTTTGTTTTGACAGCTTTTTGTTCTATAAATTGGTTGATTGAAGTGTAGAGACTCCCCTTCCACTTTCTTCCTTCTTTCTCATAGCTAACTTTTGAGATATTTTTGCCACTCTGCATCTTTGCACCACCCTTTTCGTTTCTTTAACGTCTTCTCAATCCTTCTGCAGAAATTGATTCTCCATGTTCTGCACAATCCACTTTGAAGAAGGCTCTTAAATGCCCAACATCTTGTTCTTGATGTTTGAGATTGATGTATCCAATTCTGAGTGAAATCTTCTTTTCCGGGTGTATGATCAATTCCACTGTGAGACGCAGGACCCATTTAGTTCAATCATTCTCCGTTGCCTTCCTCTACTGGCTCTACTACGTTTCATGATTTCTACCCAGAATCAAACTTTCTATTTATAGTTTCTGTATTACTGTTACTACTACTATTTTTCATCAGCGTTTTTCTTTTTCGGTTTTTTAAGTGTCTGGGTCCTGCGTCCTCCAATCCAAGGTTCGATTTTTCTTGTGTGTTTACGTTTTGATTGAAGTGTTGGTCAGTTTGGATGGCTTCGTCGAGTGGAACATCTTCAGGGTCGTCTCTGCTTCAGAATTCGGGTTCAGAGGAGGACCTGCAGGCGGTGATGGATGAGAGGAAGAGGAAGAGAATGATATCGAACCGCGAATCCGCGAGGCGATCCCGAATGAGGAAGCAGAAGCACTTGGATGATCTGGCATCACTGGTGACTCAGCTGAGGAGCGAGAATCACCAGATTCTGACATCGGTGACCCTCACCACCCAGAAGTACTTGGCGGTGGAGGCGGAGAACTCGGTGCTGAGAGCACAGGTAAGCGAGTTGAGCCACAGGTTAGAGTCTCTGAACGAGATCAACCACTTCTTGAACGCCACCAATGGTGTCTTTGGGCCTCCGGGCCCATCTCCAACCTCCTTCCTTGAGCCCGAGGGTAGTAGCAACTTCTTCAACAACCCTTTCAACATGGCATATCTCAGCCAACCGATCATGGCTTCGGCAGATATGTTGCAGTACTGAGATGGGTTTGTTTGTGTTTAGGTTCGTGTTTGGTAGGGAGATTGTAATCGGTGGTGGCAGAGAGAGAGAGAGAGAGAGAGTGAGTGCGATGAGGAATAATGATGAATGTGTATCATATGATAAAGTAGGTAAGCTTGTTGGTGCTGCTTCTGTGAACGGGCCCTGTGCTCTTCTCATATCAGATCATCCTATTATTGCAGCAACTGTACTTCCTGTGTTACACTTGCAGTGTTTATGTAATATCACCAAATCATATAACATGTTTTATTTCATTCATTGTTTTCCATTTCACTTTAACTTTTTTCCGATGTTCTTTATGCAATCGCCTTTCACTACCTAAATCAAGAGTTTAAAATTTGTACGGCAAAAGAAATGAGGTTTAAAAAAACTCTACCGAAAAGACTGATCAATCATGTTTGTGACAGAAATTATCAGATGATAAATATATGTGTAGTTTACATTCATAACATAACAGAAAAAGTGTGAAAACATTATAACGACACTCAATAGAAAGTTACAGTTATTAATATGATTTTTTTTTTCTTTACAATTTATTTACAGATATATAGTAAAAGTTTGGTTAAATGAGACAGTTTTTTAACGAAACTACAATAAAAATTCAGCTCTTTCAATAGTAATAATATTAATGTCGACCCCTCCCTTTAATTGTTCCATATTTTACTTTCTGTGGTGCCCCTTTTGCTCGAATGCTGTGTATCATTCATTATTGTATACTAAACTCCATGCTTTGTTTATTTGTTGCATTGTTTTTACCTTTTCCTTCTGTGGTGCCCCTTTTACTCAAATACTCTGATTAATCAATTTATTATTTTATATCCTGAGTTTAGACTAAACTGGAGGTGGTATACAATTTTGATACTTGCACTTCATTAATAGTTTAGTGGACAAAGTTGAATTCATTAGTATATAGTAATTCATGTTAGAACTTTGACATGATGTACGCACTCTTTCAGTCAGTGGGTCCAGGCTCAAGTTTTACTGCTCTATACCGTCATCTTCTTTTCTGAGTTACGTTTACTTTTTGATCCCACAGATTTAGGAGTTAGGTTCATTGAGCTTTCAATAATTCACATGGTTCACCGATTTTTCTTTCATTACTCTTGATACAAGATTTTGGTGGTTAGCTGATAGACTTGTAATAGACTAATACTGGCAGTATATAGTAAGAACTAAAAGCTAAATATGCTATTACCAAGAAAGGGTTAAGATTCCAAGATATTATTATACTTGGTAGAAATATATTCGGTTTGTCTATGGAGGCCTCATGAAGTACCCAGAGATTCGCATATCTTAACTGAAGGAAAAGTCCAAAACTGTCCAACAAAAGAAAGTGACAACTGAAGAAGAGAGTTGCCTGTGGCACCCCCAACTTCTGATCTTCTCATAATAGTTTTGCAGCTTAGAAGAAATTTCTTGAAATGGTGAACTCTGACGTATATATCTCCAGTGTCTGTGATATGTCTAACTAAAATTACGAGTCATTATATCTTAAGCCACTCTCATATAGCTAGCAAGCAACACATTTCAGTGTTGATTGGTACCAGGAAAGGTAAATGCATACATGTGTATGAAGTAAAATACGAGTTTAGTGAGAGGGTTATTTGCACTGACAACTAAGAAATTGAAAGCAAAGGTACTATACAACTTTGAGTTAAAGCTGCCACGCCAAGTTCTTGGAAAGTTATAAAGATTAAAATACATGATTTAGTAATAAGAGCAAATATGAGTGCGGTCTTATTGTGTGCCAGGGAACTGTTTTCACGTGCTAGGACCAAGGTTTTCAGAGCAAGTATCTCTAGACATGGTACTGAAATCTCAGAACTGAAAGTCATGGTTTGCATATGCTGTGTTATGTTCTGTAACCTTTACCTGAACCTAAATCTTATTTAACTAAATAGCAAGTGACACCAAAACATGTGGTTTGGTCACGTGAAAATTTACTAAATATCGGTATAAAGTATGGTTTAAAAGATAAATTAGCATCACACGTTGTATACTGATGAAGCCACCTTAGGAGTATTATTCTGGTGAAAAAATAGACCAGGAATCTCTGAGCAAACATAGAGAAGTTAATTACTAAGTTGAAATGCTCTTATTGGTGTGAAGAACGGTAATAACTTAATGGTTTGATAGCTTTATACCTAACTTTGCTGAATTTATTGTATGTTTCTGTTCAAAAGAGAAAAAGAGGGTGGAGAGTTTCTTGCAATAGCAAAGGCTGCTTGCTCCTTGATATTGGAGTTAATGCCTCAAAAAGTTAAAGTAAGCGCGCTTACTTGTACTTACAAAGTTGATTTATTTAAAAGAGTATTTTAGCTTGTTTTTTACTCTACTCTTCAACATTTGTTATGGACGAACTTTCTAACAAATGAATAGTTTTCTTCTTTTTACCTTCATTCTTAAAATACCATCTTTTCTTTTTTTCTTTTCCCTACTCCTATTGGCATTGACACGCTTGAAAACAAACAGCACACTCAAAATAGTTTTTTCCCCTTTCCCAATCACTACACATGTTTTGTCTTTGCATGGTACATTTTCTTCCGGGGTTTCAATGCTTCGGTCACACCCCAAATATATTAAAAATATAAATGTCACGAATACTCACGCAACCATGATTCCCTTTAAATAATGTTGGTTTAAAGCATTAAGATGACTTACATTAATGACAGTTGCATCTCTCAGCTTCAACAAAACATTAGACAAATGCAGCATCATTCCAACTTGAAACTACAGATGTATCATTGGATCAGTTTTCTACAAATGCCAACCATGACAAAAAAAAAAAAGCTTTTTCTTTCCTTTTAAGATGGAGACTTGCATCAAGATTACATGTTAGAATTAATTTCCAAGGTATCAACATATTTATCACTTCACCTTCTCTTTGTCACAGGTTCAATATAATATTATTCACACGAGGTGTTAAGTGGTGGAGCCTAAAAGCATGCGAAGGAGGTACTTCCAGGAAGCAACATTGGACTGTCTAGAATACATTGTCGGAGAAAACCATGAGATCTGATTCAATGATTCACTAATCCATGTGTGATTACATTGCAATGTATGGTAGCCTTAGATTGAGTAACATGTAAGGCTTTGACTCAGCCGAAAAAATCAAATACATTGTGCTCGTTGCTGGAACAAAAAAGTCTGTTAATTTCATCATTCATTTATCCAAAATAGTGTAAAGGAGAAATTCCACTTAATTAGTCTGTCAAAGTAAAAAACTTTTAAATAGATATTTCAGTTGGGGTTCAACTCAAGGATACAGGAATATAATCTCTGCCTCTTCTTTTTCTATGCCAAAATCTACAAAGTTCAGAAGTTACAAGTTCAATGGCTACAGCTGAATTCGCATATATTTTTCTGCACATAACAAGATTTCAATTGGAGGGTTCACAGTTAACAGCATATTCGGGAGAATAATCTCTGATTTACAAAAGGGACCTTTGAGTTGTAAATTATATTGTGTTGTTTTCTGTTGGTAACATATCTGCAGTTTTTTGTAACAATCCTACGTTTGATTTCAATTGATAAAAAGAGGTAGAATAAAATAAAGAATGTTATCATGATTCGCTGTTTGGTGGATTGTTTGAAATAAGATAAAATAAAATACAACCTTGATCAAATAAATTATATATTCTACATCGTCTTATATGTTATCTCATTTCCCTCGAATTAAATGGTATACGGAATCGACTTTTCTAATTCTATGATATAAATATTTCAACTGATAACTTTATTAACTTCAAATCACTGTGTCCGATCCTTTAATTTATGCTGTTTACCATCAGAACACAAGCGAAGGAATACGAACTTTATTTCTTATCAGGTTTATTCTATAGCTACATATTCTTTTTCTTTCCATGCTTATGAGAACTCTGAGTCTTCCCTTAACTTGGGTGCACAAATGAAGAAAAACTAATTGCCAGCTTACAAAAGAATACGGAATAACAAGGACGGTTCAGTGGTCACTGAGATGAAAGCGAAAATTTTATATATTTTAGTCATGCTCTGTACTCTGCAGTGCCTTTTTGTGTGTGAAAGCAAGATTGGTGTCAGGACCAAAATTCTTAAACAGTAATATTTTTCAATCAGAACATAAAGTTTTCTCTTCTATCTATGCTGCTTGCATTCGGAGGTAAAAACACCATGGTGAATTTTTTTTTTCAAAAATATTCAAATGATGCAAATTTTGAAAAAAATTATAAAAACTGATAAATTGTGTCAACTTAACACCACTTTAGGGCGAAAAAATAATGTCAATTTGGTACAATTTAACTCACTAAAATGAAATTGTGCCAGTAGGGATATGATTTTAGATTTTAGTGTTGTAATTTAAAAAAAAAATTAATTGAAGTCATACCAATTTGGTATACTTTAGTGTATTGTGATATAAATTGAAATCTAACTTTAGTAAACTTTTTTTAATTTTAATTGGTTGGCATGACTTTATTCTAGTAAGTTATCAATAATATGACATGACTTCTTCCTAATAAAGTTGTATCAAGCTAATATGATTTACTCATTTTTGTAATTTTTTAAAAACTTGTACCATTTCCATAATTTTGAAAGAAACCTGCACAAATTTCATGCTTTTACCTGCATTTGGAACCAGTATTAGAAAAAAAAAAGAACAGGGGAAACAGTAAGGCAACAAATTGTACATTTTTAATTCTGGCCATGCATTCCTTTAGAAAAAATGGACTTCTATTGGAATGCAACTGTGGAGAAAAATTATTGGTATTCATATTTGTTTTTTAGTTGAAATATAACTCAAAGGTTCCCACACCTGAAATACTGGGCTTAGGTGCATCAAATATAGATGAGTCCTGAATCAGTTCCATTATTTGCTTTACTGACAAATAAGTTAAGCAAGAGAGACCACGAATAGCAAGGTTTGCATCTCATTCTCTCCTGCTTGAGGAATAGAAACCACAAATAGGAGACTAAATTTGAAGACACAAATGATGAAAGTGGGTGTACTTGGATGTTTTGGTTTATAATTTGATGTCTTGGAGAGAAAGGGTGACATTATTATTATATTATATGCACACAGGCCCCCACATTTGGAAAGAGGAGACAAGGATGATGAAATCTCCCATGATGCATTCTTTTGGGATTTGAATACATGTTCGGAAAGAAAGTTTAGGGCATTTATTTATAAGGAAAGAGGAAAGCATGTGGCCAGCCATGCTATTGAATGGTTCACATGACTTGGTGAAAAAGTTGTCCTAATACTCAATATATTTAGTGC